TTCCGTGATACATTTGGCCATGTAGACCTTGATGTTTATTCAAAAAGGTTTGCATTGCCTAAGGAGCAAGAAAATGTAAGTTGTATATACTCTCCTTTTTCTTATTACTTTATTTTTTCTTTTTCCGATTATTTTTCTTTTATTTTTTCTAACCCCCTGTATTTCAAGTTTTGTGTGCTTGTAGTCAAGCCATATGTGGTGCTCAATGATATGTTTGCAGGGGCGTATGATAAGTTACTCAAGGTATTGGATTCTTCCGATTGACGAATTAAGTAAGGTCGTGCGGGACCTTAAAAACCAGCGCTAATTGGGAGGCAACCCAATTTTCTTTGTTTTTTTATTTCAATTTTTTTCGTTATTTAAATAATAATGCTAATGTGTGTTCTAGTGATGACGTCTTTTGCTAGGTACAAACATAGCTAAGTTCCTTGGTTATATCGGCTACCGTATTACAACAACCGATTGTGGTGGAGGTGTCTATACCTTTTGAAGCTCCCTTCGCTTACCCACCCCTTTGTGAGTTGGACCTCTCCCTTATTTATGTTTTAGTTCCTCTTTGTTCACATTGAGGACAATGTGATGTTTAGCTTGGGGGAGGATGATTGTCATCATTATTTTGTGCATGTTAGTTGTGTTTTAGTTTAGCTTTTATTGCTTTGTAGGTGTTGTATGGTTTGTACCATTCATTAGGAGTGGGAGTTTACATACAACGAAAAACAATGTTTTGCTTTCTTAGTTTTTTTAGTTGTTTTGATAGTGCATACTTGTGTCTATTTTTCATATTTTTGACTTCGAGCCGTGTGCGGATTTGATTTGACTCTCTTGAGCTTCTTTTGATCTTGGTTATAATTCTAAAATCCATTCGGTTTGCGCTATACATTGCTAACTACTTGACATTATGTGAATCAATTGAATGGTTTTGGAAAGATTAGTTGTCCCATATCAAGTATAGCTAGCCAATTCTCTTGCTAGGTCACCTTACTTTGGGTTTATGTGATTGATGCAATTTGTTATTTCAATGACTTTGGCTTGAGATTTATTAGTAATTTGATTATGATTCACGCATGCCGCACATGATAAAGGTCATGTTCTTTAGGTAACCTTCAGATGATATTTAGATACATTTGTTCCCTTTGCTCACCCATGTTGTTTCCTTGTCCATTTATTGATATATAGCTACATTACAAGCCACTTTAGCCCCATTGGTTACTATTCCCAAGTCTAGCTAGCTTGGGGAGCTTATTGATGTGGTGTTGTTGTTTGAGTGTCAAGCTTTAATTTATGCAAAATATGGTGGAATATATATTGAAAAAAAAATTGTTTCTATAGTTGAGAAGTGTTACTTAAAAAAAGAAAGAAGAAAAAAAAAGAATAAAAAGAAAAAAAAATCTTGTTTATGTGTACTTCATTGAAAAAGCCGAAGAATTGAAAAAAATGAAAAAAAGGCAAGGAGAAAGGAAAAAGAAAGAAAAAAATTATTCATGACGATGAATAGTTGATTTCAATCTTGGTTTTTTATTATGTTTGGAGAAAGTTGGTGATGTCAATTGGAGTTAGATCATTATTTGATCGCGTTTATGTTTTTGCTCTCCAAGTTGGCTATTTACTCACATTTTCCTAAATATTATCCTACCCCTTTACCTTTGCCCCATTACAAGCTTATAAAGTCCTTTTGATCGGCATGTTTGTTTTGTGATTGAGTGAACGTTATTTCTTGCTACCGTCAAGTTACCCTTTATTGCATCAAATACTCATATACTACAAGGTGTGCGGTGACGACTAGCTTGATTGGGAAATCGTTTATGGCCAAGTTTGGTTTCAATTGTAGATCGTGATGTTGAGTGGTTCTATTTGTATCCGAGCTAGATTTTGGTCTTAATAACTTTGGTTTGATTGTTTTCTAGAGAGTCAAATCGGTCTTATTCTGGTTCCCTGGAAGTCTTATTTGTCTTGTCTCTCCGTCTTGAGCCTAGTGTTGCTTGGGGACAAGCAACATTTTAGCTTGGGGGAATTTGATAAATCACATTTATATAGGATTTATAGGCACGTTTATGCTAAGTTTATAGTTGCTTTTTAGGTCTTTTAGTCGCTTTTTAGGTCGTAAATACATAAGTTGTTTGTTTTGTACACTATTATGCTCCGTTTGTGTTTTTCTTAACGTTTCAGGTGATTTTATAGTCATTTGGACGCTTTCGTAGTGTTTGGAGTTGATTCGGATGATATTTGGATGGAAGCCGATGAATTGAGTTTATTAATTGGAGATCCCATGTTTGTGGATGTTGATTTTGATTAATATGTGCATGAGACATGAATATATCATTCACAAGGGTCGTTATGTACTTTAAGAAATGAATTTGAGTTAGAAACGAAGAAAAACGAAGGTTTGTAAAGTTGCAAATCAGACTTTTGATCACTCTTTTGATCATAACTTGAGTTCTACAGATGGATTTAAGTGATTCAAGTTGCATTGGAAACTAGACTTGAAGAGCTTTCCAACAGTAGGTCACACGCCTATATACAACCTATAAACCAGAAGTTAAAAGCCTGTGAAGTTGACACAATGCCCAGTATCCCCGAGCGAGAGCTCGCATAGGCCTTGAGCAATAGCAGCCTCGAGCGAGAGCTCACTCGACCAGGGAGCTATAGCTCCAGTTTACCCACGAAAGCAGCAAGCAAGGGGCATCGTAGCACGTCTTTTGCTTGGCCCTCGATTCCATCGAGCATCTTCGTGCCACGTCATCTTCTATCGTCCAATCGTTTGACAACTTGTGTAATTTATATTTTACTTTTCTTTAATTATTTTTAGATTTGTTTTAGGATAAAATAAATACTCCAAGGGATATTATTTTTTCCCTTATGCCTTTTTATACTTTTTATTTTACGTTCGTTTTAGCTTTCTCTTTAGCCCTAGTTTTTCATGGACAACTCCATGGATTCCTCCATGGATTTGTCCTTGAATTTGTTAATTTAATTTATAGAGGTAATATTATTTCTTTACTTTTGATTATGCTTTCTTTATTAGTTTTAGTTTTAATTATTTATTTCATGCTAGAGTAGTTTATTTCTAGGGTTTGGGAATCCATGTTTATACTATGAATCTTGATTGATGTTATTGATATTTTAATTATTGGTTTCTCTAATTGATAGTGTTTTGTTGTTAATCTTGCAACCTGATCAATTGTTTGATTAATTCTTGTTAATAAGAGTTTGAATCAAAAGATGTTACTTTTAGAGGCTTACCTACAATTAGCAATTCTGATTATGTTAGCGACCGAACTGCATATGTTGAATTGAGAGCGTTAAGAACCGACCGTAGGCTTAGAAATTGCTCTAGATAATTGATTGATTGAATTGTTATTGATATTTGATAGATTTAGAACTATAAACATGGTGAACCATAACCCTAGGTCTTTTTATTAATTATTTTATCCCTCTTTTAATTTAGACTATTTTCCTATCCCAATTTCGTGACATAGTTTAGTTTCTCTATACCTTGAAAGCTAGATTGAATAGCCATCTCTATGTGGATTCGACCCTACTTACCCTACTACATTGTTAGTTGGTTTTGTTAGGAATTTATTTTTGACAGGTGTACGACAACCTATCAGCAACCCCCCTTGAAACCGCAAAGCACGAGCCACATTAAGAATATGTTGATGTTTTCTCTCAACTCTCCCATTTTGTTGAGGGGTACCCACACATGAAGACACAAAAATAATCCCATTGTCCACAAAATAATCTTGAAGATGATTAAACTCAGTACCATTATCACTTCTAACAACCTTGATAAGTAGATTCAACCTCAGTTTTATTACGAATTAAATAAATCCAAACACCTCTAGAGTAATCATCAACAATCGTTAAAAAATACTTCGCCCCACACGACGAAGGCACTTTATAAGGACCCCACAAATCAATATGAACTAACTCAAACAAATTACTAGCATTAGTTTCACTAATTGGAAAACTATCCCTCGTTTGTTTTGCACGTGGGCATACATCACAAACATTTTTATTTTTCCTAACTAAATTACTCACAGGAGGGAGTAACTTCAAAACTCTTTCCGACGGATGACCCATGCGTTGATGCCGAAGATCCACCCCACAATCCACAGCTAGCACCTTCACTTGCGGCACACCACGAAAAAAATAAAGTCCATCTTGTCTTTCACTCACGCCAATCACCATCCTCTTCAACTGGTCCTGAATAACACAAATTTTGTTAGTGAATTGAATTATACATCGTTTTTCATCACTAAGTTGAGTGACTGAAATAAATTGCAATTTAAGTGGGGAACAAATAAAACATTATCGAGCACCAAACCACCCTCTAAGGTGACCGAACCCAATTGATTTGCATTCACCGTTTGACCATCCGGCAAGCCAACCGGACAATCTTGTATAGTCTTGATATTTGTCATAATTGACAAATCATTAGTAACATGATTAGAAGCTCTTAAATCCACAATCCATAAGACGCTTGTATTACCTTCCAATCGTGACTTGGGTTTGCTCAAAATATCAATAATCTGTTGTGCTTGTTCCGACGATACTCCCGCAAGATCTTGTATAGAATCTGCCAAGGATGATGAAGCACCTCCTGCATTATGAGAAGCTCCACCTTGTACCGCATTCGCACGAGCAGCAGATGGGGTAGTCCCTGAAGACGCATTGCCTCGCTCCCCCACGCTGCCCCTGCCACCCCCACGATTGTTGGAGCCTCCTCTTCCACGTCCTCTACCTCTTTTTCGATTGTCATCCCAACCGGGCGGAAAACCGATAATTTGATAACATCCCTTCTTGTCATGTCCCACACGATTACAATGAGTACAAAACGGACGATCTCCATCCCCCGAATCACTCCTTGTACGGGAATCCACCTTGAATGCCATAACATTTTCTTTCGGTTTAGCGTCTCGGACACGAAGTCTCTCCGTATTAATGACTGTTTGGTAAGCACTATCAACCATGGGCAAAGGTGATTGTGCTAAAAATTGTGCTCAAATTGCTTCGTACGGATCATCTAGACCCATCAAAAAATAATGTAGATAATCCTCTTCTCGAATTTCTGTAACTTGCCGAGCAATATTGCACTTGAAAGCGCCACAAGAACATTTTGGGACACGAGCATACTGCACCAATTCCTTCCAGATTTTTGACAACCGACCAAAGTAATCGGTCACAGATTCGGTAGAAGTCTGCTTGCACTCCCCTAATGACTGCTTAAGCTGACATATACGAGTACCACATACAACACAATATCTCTGTTTGAGATGTATCCACAAGTCATGCGCAATGTCAAAATCCTCAATTTGATAACGCAAAGCATCATCAAGCATATTAGTAATCCACGACACAAGCATAGAGTTTACCGCAACCCAATGCTTCTTTTTCAACTCGTCACTAGGCTCTAAGGTTGAACCATCAATAAAACCGAACTTGAATTTTGCAATCATCGAACACAAATTGCTTTAGCCCATTCATCATAATTTGGCCCTTTCAATTTTACCGGAGTAATAACAACCCCCGGATGATCACTCGACCCTAGGTAATACTCTAGGTCCACCGGTGGTGGTGGTGGGATTTGATCATCCTTTGTCATCTCTCGGCTCTGTGTGTGTTTTTCAAAATTTATTTTTTTTTCTTAACCTAATCTCTTGATACCATGACAAATTCAACTGAATCTCTTGGCTTCCTCATTAACAACTCAAGAATATATATAGGTACACAAGATATTCCTAACCCTAACATAATTAGGAATAAGATAGAATATTAACATAAATAGGAAATCTAAAGACATGATACAATATTTCCTAATATTATCTTAACATATTCAATACGAAGTAATAAATGCTAAAAAAAAAGTAAATGTTTATAGTTCCAGCAGTTCAAATAAACAGTAGTATCTATAAGCTCTGTTCAATGGGTAAAAAAAAAGCGCTCTGTTCAAATGAATAGTGCAAATGTGCAATGATGTTATTACCCCTACCTTTAATTAAAAAATACGTAGTAAAAAAAATACTGTAAATGTAAATAAACCTTTCATTTTGGTTTTGAAGAATCTCATTCAATCTCTCTCCTCACTCTTCTTCTCCCATCTTTTCCACTCTCATCTCCTTCTCCATATTTTGCACGAGCTGTTCTTCAAGTGCAACCAAGAGGTAATCTTTCTTTTTGGCCTTTTCCTTGATTGTTTTTGCTTACAATTTCATCAATATTCAATTTTGTGTTTAGTTTTGGTTGAGATGTTATTCTTGGATTAATTTAATCATTGTGATTTTGTCGTGTTATGTTGCGATTTTAATTCTGGAGTAAGTATTATTTAATCTGCCTCAATTAAAGTAAGCTTTATTAATTGACATTTTTTTTGGGTTTAGCTTAGTGGGTAATAGACATATTTGTGGATTAGTTGACTTTAATTTGAATTATTTCTCCTTCTGTTGCTAAATAGTCAGATTAACATGAATTACCCTATATGATGACTGTAATAATGAAGTAGTTCTTGGCATTGTCATGATAGCTATGGGCGATGAAAAGGGTCTTGACACAACGATGACTACTTACTGAATTAATTGACATATAGAAACCAAAACATCCAAAAATATAGGGAACAACACTAATAATGTTGTCTCTTTGAGGATGTTTGATTATGCTAAAGTAATACAAATCATTATAATGTTTTCTTGATAAAACTCTAATAATGCGTGTTATTTCTTAGGTTATTCATCTCTTTTAGATGAAGTTGTTAGAGAATTAATTTTGATGAATTTGCAGTGGATAAAACTTATGAATTCTTCACCCAACCTCAATAAAATTTTGGCTCTTGATTAAGCTAAATGACTAGCACGTCTAACCAATTTCATAGTACACTTAACTTATGATTGCAAATTATTAGATATATGTTATGCTGACCTGCAGAAGTCATCTGCCTCTGTGATGTGCATGTACACTCTGTACCGTGCTCTTGGATGCTTGTACTAAGACAAATTACTATTCACTTAAAAGAAGCTACAACTTACCCATATACAATGTAAAAGGAAAGCCCAAAAAAATAATTTAAAATTAACTTGGTATACTATATTAATTCAAAGGTCTTTTTTAAACAAATTTGTTTTTTTTTTCCCTGGGGTTTTTAACCGTTCTTTTTTTGTTTTTAAGTCTTCTTTTTGGGGTTCTTTTGTATTTTTAGGTTGCAATTGTGTTGTTGAAATTTGTGTGTTGTGGAATGGAAATTTGTGTGATTTGCCTAGGGGTGGAAACGAAACCTCTGCTTGTTGTTAACCCTACTTGGTATATTATATCTAATTTGTGAAGAGTTTTTGAGCTATGATGAGAAGTAAGGAAATTAGTTAAGGGCTCAAGTGAATACATTTGTTCGAGAGAAGCATTTTGATCATCCTTTTTCCCCTAAATCTACAACGATTAATGCTACAGATTAAGAGAAGCTCTGTTTGCGGCACTTTCCTCTTTTGTTGCTTTTTGGTCTACTGGTTTTCAATAGCTACATCTCATCAACTCATTATGTATACTAAGCAGTTGGTTTTTTTAGGGAGTCCATTTTAAAGGCCTTTTCCCCATGATTTCCTCATTCTTGGTGTTTTTTTCCCACTTTTTCCTTATTGGTTACTTACTGGTTTCTTTGTAGCTGATCTGCTACAATTCCAATTGTAATACCGTTATTCATTAGCCTGTTTTACTATAGGTAATAATAAGAGTATATAACTATATCAGCTACATTTGTATGTCTACAGCGTCGGTTACCAAAGATAATTCAATGTTGCTTTTCTTTTTAATTTGATAAAATTGTGTTTGTGCTTGTTCTTAGTATTATAATTACACTTATATATATATTGTTTTTCCTTATCGCTGATGCATTGGGACTGAGCTTGATTGCCTTTTTTACAGGTTGCTTAGGTGAATTATATGCAGTGCGACTTGGGAAGTGGAGGTTAGATGCTGAATAGAAGACATTGCATACTAATTAAATCAATGGGTAATTCGTTTGTTTTTACTACGGTTAACTGTGTGTTAAGGATTTCAGTGATAAGTCCCTATGTTGGAGGTGGTTATGCTTGGTTCTGATTGCAAAGGCCAGTTTATAGTTGTTATAATTGTAGATAGTATCAATCTAATCAATAAAATATTTTAGAATTTATCTTAGTTTGAGTAGCTTTTGCATGTTTACTTCCTTCACTGGGGAATGCAAAGCAAGATGTGGTATGTTGTTACCAGCAATATGCTTAGTAATTTTAAAAAGTAGTTGTTCCCTTCATTGCTTTAGGAGGGATAGTTAGATGTATAGTGTTTATATGTGCTTGTATATAGCTTGATTGTTGTTTGCTCTTTAGAAAGTTTATAGCTTCCAATAAACATTTGTTATATAGCTTATTTTGAATAGTTGTTGATATAGATGGCCAACAATCTAATCCGTCACCATGGAGACCTTACAGCAATAAGCGTAGGCGCACAATTGTGTGGCTATCTTAGCTTGAGAGGTAGGTTTGGTCGTGTTGTTCTAACCTTAAGCAGTTATTGGCAATTCTAATGTTATTCTTTGGCTTCATTATCTTTCTTTCTTCCTCATTATTAAAGGACCAACTCAACCAAAAGCTTAAGCTAATGGTTGAGGCCCATGAATATGTTTTATTCTCTATCACTCCCCCTCACACAAAAGACCCTTTGGGCTTGAAATGTGGATGCAACACAGACCCACCTGGTGCGAATTAATTCCACTTTAAACGAGGGGTGGATGAGATTCGAACCTGTGACCTTTGTGTCACGCTGGCTCTGATACCATGAATAAGCTAATGGTTGAGGCCCATGAATATGTTTTATACTCTATCACTCATCATTCTTATAGTGATTGAAATTCTTGTTTGGTAGTGTCGATCTAATCTTAAGCAGTTATTGGCAATCCCTGTTAAATTTGCAATGATTGGTGGTAATTATCATAGCAAAGGATTGTAGTTAACTTTGATGGTTGCATTTGAGCTGTATAATTCTATTCATTTAGCAGGCTTTTGTTGTAGAACAACTGAAAAGAGTGAAATGCTTTCATTGATCATGGTTTAGTTAATGTCATAGAGATTATTATTATTGTGATTTTTTTCCTTTGTTTTTTTTTGCTTTTTACTTTCGTTTTATTACACACCATTTTTGTCTCGTCTTGCTTTTTTGACAGCAAAATGCAAAAATATTGAATTGATTTAGTGGGTTTTTTTGAATTGTTGAAATTTCATTATGTTCTTGGGTATTCAATTTTGGCTTTTTTTTCATATAATTATTGTTTTAAGCTTGTTGTTTCTTTTTTATAAAACAGTTTGTTGAAATGTTAATAGATATTAGTGAAAGTTATACTCTTTTTTTTTTTACACGTGCAAGTTATACTGTTTCTTTGGGGGAGAATTGGCTTATGTTGGTTAATCATCCATTCATCCATTAATATGAACCCATGATCACATTTTTTGGCGCCATGGTGACTTGGTGAGCTCCAAGTGATTAGAACCCAAATTTTGATGGACGGTAAAACGTTAAGAAAAATCACTCGAGAAACAACACCAATAACAAAATCATTCAAAAAATTACATTGATAACTTAGAAAATTGCAAATCTTGATAGATGATAAAATGTCAAAAAAATCGCTCGAGAAGCAACACCGATAACAAAATCAATTGAGACATTGATAACTTGGGGAACCGTACGGGTCCACAACTAGTGTGCTAGAAAAATATCAACCAAAAAGAAACTACCCTTTTGCCGTTTTTAGCATGTGTTGCCAGATCATACAAGATTCCTACCTACCTACCTTACTTCATTATAATTAACTCTAACATACTATATAGTACAATATTGTAATTGAAATTCCGTCGATCTGAATGATTAAAGGAGAGGATACTCCCAACAGCGTGTTGTTTGTGCTGAACCAGTTCCTTTTTATGGCTCGACTCTACTGGATTTGGTGAGCTCCCTTGAATATGATCGATCGTATTCTATCCTGGCAGTGGAAGACTGGAAGTCGTCTTTCTCCGATCCAATTTAGTCAAGTTATTCACTCTGAACCAACCCCGTGCATTCATTCTTAAGTCTCTAATGAGATAGAGATAGAGATAAATGATTTGATCGGTATGTATGTCTGTATGTTCCACCCACCTTGGGAGCAAGTTTGACCTCCAAAAGTTCCTTTTCTTGTAATGGCTGCCTTGAATTCCCTGAGTAGACTCCAATATCTTAAGTGCATATTCCAAATGATATGTGATCTTCATTTTGGTTGGAGAAATTATGAGTTAGGCCTTGTTTAATTCAACTTATTTTTACTTATTTTAGAAAAAAAAAAGTTCAGATGAGAGCATCGTTTTATGTGCGGTTTTTTATTGCTAAATTTCTTTAATTTTGTAATGAAAATAATTGTGAAAATTACATATTAATAAAGTACACATTATTACGAATCTAACAAGATTCCACTTGATATATTTTTATCTTTTGGATTATTGTACACTTAAGGTCAAAGTTTGGTCAAATCAGACAATTTGACCAGATCAGATCACACCAGACCATACTAGACCAGCTCAGATCAGCATCAATAAGGTGAACTAAATAAGGCCTTAGTTGAAAGCAAGGATAGCCCCTTCCACACTAGGTTAGTATTCCATCCTCCCTCTGTACGTGCATTTTGCAATTCTTGTGGGCGACTGACTCTCTGATTTAATTTAATTTTTTTAACTGATTTTGTGTTTCTGAACCCCCATACATCTTCTGTAATGCGTTCTCGCTCTTCACTCTTTGCATACCAACAATCTTTAAACATCATATATAACTACATTCTTAGATTACATTTTATCAACGCTCTAGCATGTCTTTTGTATCATTCTCTTGTTATATGGAGCCTTACTTGGTTCTTAACATGTACTTAAGTTCAATATTTAATGCTCTCCTACTCCTTTTATCTTCTTTTCTTACTTTTCTCCTCTACATTCCCTGATGCTATAGAAGGAGTACTGCACATTAAGTGGTGCGGCCAATTTAATTTCCATCATCATAAGAGCATATATGTTGGATTGGAGCTGATGGCCCTATTTTTCGCTTGTATGGTGTTTAATATTTTGTTTATATATGTTGTCGAATTGTTCCCTAATTGAGTCAGAAACACTGCTGCCTCACTCTCAAAGCAAGCACTGCTGTTTGCATCAATCTTTGTTCCACCTTTGGTGGTAATAAGGAGGAGTAATCAGTTCTTCTCCCTAGTAGTCTTCCGGGTGACCATTCTCTTTTGTGGCCTTTTGGTCATTTTTTGTGCCTGAAACAAGGGGTAAGATACTATCTGATACCATGGAAGAGCAAGAAGCTCGAGATAAGAATGGTAGTTGTATCCCAATTTTATGATGGCTTCAGTTCTGTTGGGTGTTTTACATTGCTGCATTCCCGTTTTTGTTGTATGTATTGCTTTATCATTTGTCATTTTAATGCTTAGGAGATGGTATATAATATCGATGTGCATGGCCACCACATTGTAGATAATGAGATATGATAATGAGTTTTCAATATGCAGTCCACCCATATACAATCTTACAGCCAAGAAGTAGAATTTCAACCAGATGCCGGTATCAATTAAGCTTTAGAGAAGCCTTTTTTTTTAAAGAATTATGTAGTAAGTCCTTGATAGGAGCAATTGATCAGAAATAAGGCATTGTAGCTGTAGATCTTCGCTACCCTGCTTCAATGTAATCTACGGTGGTGTTGTTGCTCTTCTTGACCTATAGTAATTTTTTCCTTGTTTGGAGGTGAATAATGGTTTAGGGTGTTTGGTGATGTCTTGATGTGTTATGAGGTCTGAAGTTGCTAACTGTGTCTTTGGCTGTGTGTAATGTCATATCATTGGTTGAGTGTTTTTTGTCAAATTTTAGAACATTGAAAGTGTTGTTGGTGCATATGCCCCCTGCTCATGTAGTCTTAATACTTTGAATATACACAAGGACTTGTGGGGCATGCCTAAATACATGGGTGATGCATTGCTTCAAACATTACAAGCGTAAATAATTGAACAGTAAGTCTGTGCTTACACAAGTGATGACTTTATGGAACAAAATGATTGAACATACAATAAAAATTTTCTGTGTTTGCTATCTGACACTGATACAGTTTTCTAGCCTTAACAAGAAGTTTTCTTTTCAAATTTCAAGCACGAGTTAGTAGGTATCTATTATCTTTGACATATAGAGTGGCAATGAGTGTTTCTCTATGATATACAAATTTTTTTGGAAATCCTCAGCTTCTATTTTCTAGCATATGTTGGTAGGTATCTATTATTTTTTTGGAAGAGACTTGCGATGAGTGGTTCTCTATGATTCATAAACATTTTTAAGAAATCCTCATCCTTGATCAACATAATGTAGAGAATGAAATTTTGGGGTAACAAGTGTTTTGACTAGACCTGGTGGATCTGAAGAAACTCAGGCAGTGTAACATACGATGATTTGCTGGAAGATTTGATGATTGTATTTCTGCAGTGTCACTAAGCTAGGTTTGGTACTAAATGTGGTGAAGAATTGAATGTAATAGAATTTTTGTCAACAGGAAGAAACATATAAAGCAACATTACCAATTACAGATGCCTTTAAAAACACTGAAAGTTGAGATGAGAGAAGAGGTTAACAGAACCATTGGCCTGTTGCTTTACATAAATTGACTAGAGTGCATATTTGAGAGAAGTGCCGTGATTGTACATATATAGTTGCTGCCTTATATCTATCTATAACCTATACAAAAGCCCCAAGTGCATTTAATTCCCAATTTACTGTTCCTTATGAACAGGGAATTGACATTTCTGCCTTCCCTTGCCCTTAGCACCCTTCCTTGATTGACCAGATTGACAGGGGTAGTTCGGTCTTTTTTGCTTTGCCATTTCAGATGTTCTCAACGGGCTGCCGCGTGGCCGTTTCCCCATTTTTGTTGGCATTCTTTCACTCATCCTCTCTCCTTTCATTCAGTTTCTCTCTCCTCAAATGAATCCTTATTTGTTTGATCGTGATTGAGTTTTGATCATTAGGGTTTCAATTAATTGTGAAATTCGGGTTTATTTCTTAGTTGTGAGTAGGGGTGTCTGTTCGGTTTTTGGTTTGAATTTAGGTCAAATCCAATCCGATCCGAATTATAATTCGGTTTTCAATTTTTCAATCCGATCCGATCCGAATTACTCTCCCAATCCAATCCGATCCGAATTAAAATTCCGTTGTTTGGATCTGATCCGAAAATCCGAATTATAATACGTTAATTTTTAGCGTCCAATACGATAACTACAAAAAAAAAACAATAATAAAAATACCATTTGTCCAATCAAGCCTTAAAATAATACAAGTCTTGAAAATAGTGATAATTATTCATCATCAAGTCAATATTAATTATTACTTAGCTAGAATAACTACAAGTCATCACCATTACAAGTTTACAACAACACTATGCACATAATATCAGCAACTAACTACATGGCATCACCAAATTTTAGCGTTCAATAGCAACACCGTAACTAAACAATAAGTCAACATATTAGTCGTTGCTTAATTTTACAATTCGATTTTCGGTTTGGTTTGGATCCAATTAGGGTCAATCCAATCCAATCCGAAAATCCGAATTTTACAAAAATCTCAATCCAATCCAATCCGATTTAAAGTTTGGATCCGATCCGAATTGATAATTCAGTTTGGATTGAATTGGATTTCGGTTTTAATCCGAATTATGGACATCCCTAGTTGTGAGGGTAGATCATTGAGAATTTAGGGTTTGTTCTTAGGAATTTGGGTGAAATTTTGAGAGAATTTTGTTGAGTGAAGAAGGATGGGGAGTACAGAAGGATTGGTGAAGCAACTTGGAGTGACAACGCCGATTTCTATGGCGGGACCTTCTGCTATTGATTTTCAGAAGACTCGGGAATTTGAGAAGGTTTGTTGGTTTGATTCTTGAATTTTTAGTATTAATTAGGGTTTCTTGTTTATTTAATTGTTTGTTGTTGATCGCTCGTTTTGGTTTTGTATGAAAGCGATGACGAGGCGGCGATGAGGGAAGCGATTTTGGCTCGCCTTAGAGGGGTATAAGAACTATATTTGTGTGTGTTGAAGTTATGTTCTTATTTCTGACTTGAATTTTAGTTGATTTTGTCGAATTTGGGAATTTTGTCGGTTGATTGTTGATTATAATTGTCAATTAGTTGACATAATTGTATGAATGCCCTAGACTTGCTGAATTTGTAATATAAACGAGGTTGTTGTGATCATGTTGAGTGAGGCAATTTAAATCATTGCGTATGTATTTTTAGTCCGATGCGAATGGAAATATACTTAGATTATACTATTTGCATAGTAATAACATATAACTCAGACAATTAAGCACTCAACTGTCTTTTGAAGTACTTGAACATGAGATTGTGGTTGCATCTATAATCCTTATATTTTTGGATTTGAGATGTTCTTTGATTTTGGAATTGTTTTTTCAATTTTGGAACCAAGGGAGTAGAAAATTTAGTTTTTGTAAAACAAACTAGGTATGTTTCTCTTGTAGCGAAGGACAAGTTTGGCTCAGCTTGTGTTTATTTATTTAATCTTTTGTGAATTCACGGTAACTTTTGTTAAGTGGCTGCAAATAATGGATGATTACAGAACAATATCAATTATTTGTTCATTGTTGTGTAGACAAGTCTGACAAATGCTTGAGCCATTTGAAGGCAAATTTTATATATGTACTGATATTTGTCACTGGATGCAGGAAGACCTGAGAAAGATAATTAAAGTGAATAAGCCTCTAAAGACACCATTTGGAAGGTTGTTGAAGTTAGCTGCCCATGCATTAGCAGAGGTATGCCTTCTTTCTTGCATTAACCACTTAGCTAAGTGTTTGTATCTATGCGAGTATGTGTATTTTCTATCCAGTCTTTCAGTGTTAAATGTTCAAATCCTTCACAATTTGTAGGGACAGAATAAGCCCGAACCGAAAGGGCTGTGGGAAGTCTCTTACGATCCTGCTTCCAACTGGAAGCCATTTGCTTTTTAAGACGTGTTTGATGTTCATTATTGGCAAAAATTCTATTAATTAGGAACTTTTCTTAGCTTTGTCCTCCTTGAGCAATAGTGATGTGATCACCCATAAGCTTATCACTGTGAAAAATGTCACTAAATCGATACTTTATGTGATTAGTCTGACTTTCTTCCGGGGAAATGGTAGTAATAAGAAGTATTTTAAGATAATTTAGTACTCTCTGCACTATTTTTTTTGGTTAATTCCAGTGTGGGTGCATGTGGGCTTTAAACAATATCCGTGGATTATGAGCTGCTGCTTTCTGTGTTTATGCTTTTCTCAATTTTGTAGGATTTTTGCTACTTTGTATTTTGATTGAACACAATCAATGCTCACGGGGCATCAAAATAAATATTCTGTTCTGAATATGTGTTTTTTTCCTTTCTAGAATTATGTACAAAATTGGGAGGATGAGTTTTGCTACATTTTAGCTGTCATTTTGAAGCAAAGTAAAGTAAAAAAATTTAGGCATGAGATTGATCCTGGGGCAAGGACAGCTGATTTCGACAGGTAAGCTGATTATGAAAATGATCATACTTCGTATTTTGGTCTGCTAAATGCTTTGTTAGATTTCAGAGCAAAAGAGGAGATCGAGGAGGAGGAAAGAGTTCAAGCTCTTCACCCTCTTATGGGGTGTGCTGCAGAATATCAACCTCAGAATGTGCAGCCTCACCGTTCAAATTAATTAAGAAATGGATTTGTGCATATTAAGTTATGTTTTTGCTATCTTAAAATTTCAAGCCTTTACCATGCCTTATTTATATCTATAAAAGTTTTGCTACTTTCATGAATTTGGGAATCTTGGATGACTAGGGTGATGGCACATAATATAAAATGAGAAAAACCTATTTTGTTAATAATTTTCGATTTTTTACATAAGTGCTTTGAATTGGGGATAAAGGTACATGTAAGGGGAAAAAAATTCCCAAAAGATGTAAAATTCTATTGTAGTTTGTGTGGTTAACTACGTTACAAAGTATTAGTTCTTGTTTGTTGTTTCTTAGTGATTTTTGCATTTGCTTATTTATGCTGGTTATAAGATATATGGCTTGTGTTACATTACAAATTACGCTAATCAACAGAGCTATAAGATAGTGGTAAGCTTGGCATGGTTGGCGGTGGGTTTTATTAGGGTAATTTGTGTGGTCTAGTCGTTATTTGGTTTTGTCACATGGTTTGTCTGGGTATGTCATATGTAATTTTCTTAAGGATGGTGCTATAGAGCTTGGTTATCTCGTGCCTTCAGTTTTATATGTATGGTACTTATTACATTTTGTGGGAAACTCTCTGCTCTAATCTGTTATTGATTTTAGAAATGTGTTTTTTTTTGCCTCTATATGTAGGTGACTTTGACACAGAGATCTTATTCTTCATTTCTTGGTCCATTTCTTAGTGTTTGGCAACTGTGCTCTTTGAACAGTTATTTGCTATTTTGGCTACGAATTAGTATTTAGATTCTATACAATGTTAGTTTATTATGATTTTGTCTTTGCAAAGCTTGTGTTTGTTATTTTGTGCTTTTATGTTTTGGTGTGCGTGTTTGATGTAAAGCCTACTTTTCTTTTTGGAAAGAATTTTTTATTATTTACTTTTAATCCGCCAAAATCAACTACAAGTATCTTGGTTTTAATACTACTGTTAAACAGCCAAACTTTACAAAGTAATACTCAACCATTGGCAAAATTCAACTATTTTGTGTTATAATAAAATCTATTGAGGTATTGACCCCTTATCTCAAATTCTTGATCTGATACTAATAGTATTGATACTCTAATATCAATTTGTTATAAATCTCATTAGTATCTTATTTATAATTTTGTAAAGTATTGACTTATAAATCTTAGTTTTATACAAAGTACTTGAATATATTATACTCCATGATTATGTAATATTAGTTTGGAATAAATCTGTATGCCACCTATACCTAAGAGTGGCTTGACTTTAAATTGCAGGCAGTTGGACCGTGGGAGTTTGGGTTAGCAAGCACCCGAGCAATTATGTGAGAGTCACCAGATGCGTGCAGTGGATTTATTTAGTTCATGTTTTGTTCTCTTCTTCTGTATGACAAAAGGCTAACACATACTACGATTACTAAAATTGTTAAAACCATTAAAGAGAGAGAGGGGGTGTAGAGAAGCATAAGAAGCCAGAGAAAGGGGAAAGGTGAGAGAATGAAGGAGTGAGAGGGGGATAAGGAAGAGAGAGAGAGAGAGAGAGAGAGAGAGAGAGAGAGAAGGGTTATAGGTGATGGCTAAGATGATATAGAGAAATCGAGGTCCTCAAGGATACAAGGCAAAGAAGAGTCAAGAAAATTACAGCTCTTTTAGGAAACCGTTACAGAACATATCTTTTCAATGACATGACAGAAATATAAATTATTAAAAAGAGAATATCTTAATAACCATGACCATATAATTATAAGACAAATGAGAGGAGCGATATAAAAAAGGAGTGACGAAGAGTGAGGGGGCAAGTAGGAAAACTGAATTGTCAAGACCACAATAGAAGAATGAATAGGAGAGAAGAATAAGAGCAAGAGGAGGTTAGAGAGGAGCTGATGATGAGGGAAGAAAAGGGTTAGAGGGAGATAGGGAAAATGTGACGGTAACAATGCGAGAGAAAGAAGGGAAAGAGAGAAGGAGCATTGTCAGTCTGAAATGTCACAAGCAAGTAGCAACGGCAAGCTCCATTTTCTTTCTTTCGTTTTTTTTTAATAAAAGCTAATGAGCGTCCTCGGGGCGTTAGATAAGAGAATCAAAGTGGAAATATTAGAGTAAAACTTACATTAATTACACCGAATGACGCGTGATTTAATTTTGTTATGCATTCCTAAGTTAATACTATTTCAACCAATATAATTATTCCTTATCTAACGCCCTGTGACGCTTGTTAGCAAGATATTTTTTTTTAGTTCATTTGATTGCTTATTTTTCACATATTATATGATTTTTTCTAATGTTAGTATTCTGATTTTTCCTTTTTAAAAGTATAATGTATACCTGTTTTGACTACCTGTCTTTAGTTCGCTTTTTCTCCTTTTTAATTGCTTTGATTTCTATGAATTTGCATTGAATGTGATTTATGTTCTCAGTTTAATTTGTTGGTGTTAATTTACAATATTGATTTAATTTTTCTGTTTTTCTTTTTTTTTTTTTTTTTTTTTTTTTTTTTTTTTTTGTGTTTATTCTGTTTTCTTTGTTTTGGTATTTATGAATTTGCATTGCTTGTATTTATATTCTCAATTTATTAATTATTGTTAATTTCTGGGATTGATTTTGTATTTATTCTTTTTTCTATTAGAATGAAACCCATATATTGACTTAAACCAGTGTCCTATTATCGACAACATTTTAATTGCTATTGCTGAATATTGTCCGAATTTGACAGTCTTATTAATTGAAATGTGCCCTGAAATAGGTAATGACTGCATGCAAGCAATTCATTCGTTCTTGCCGTTTGTCAGAGACCCAAGTAGCATTGAGAATACTTAGGTGGTTCAAAGGAGGCACCAAGTTACAAAACCTGAGCAACTAAAGGCAGAACCTCCGACTCCACCAGAGCAACCAAAGGTAGAACCGCAGACCCTCTGATTCCACCTCAGCAACCAAAGACAGAACCTCTTGCACCTCCTCAGCAAGACAGCAACCGTAGACAGAACCTCATCATGTAACTCCAATTTGATATTTTTATAGATTCTCTAAGTTACAGAAGATCTAAAAGGCAAAGAACTATGTCTTAAAGCTGCTGAGTTGCTCACAAGGCTTGGAAGAAGGGCTATATCTCCGTCAGATGCCTGCCAGGTCTATTCACTTCTTCACCAGCAAGTCTGGTAAAGTCTTAACAAATTTCTGTGTAAAAACTAGCGTGTTTTTATTTTATTTTACCCTTAATTAACAATGTCTTCTGCTTGTCTTGTTCTCAATCTGTATAATCAACTCGCTGCTAAAGTTATGCAGCTAAGGCTCAAAAAGAAAATATGCAGAAGCTGAGAAACTTCTGGTTAGTTTCTTTGATATTTTTATATCTCTGACTTCAGTGTTGTATCCTCCCTCCCAAAAAAAATTTATGTATTTGAAATAAAAGGTAAGCAGTGACAATTTGGGTTTATTCGCAAGCTGTTACAAGTTTAGTTACATAACCTGATATGTGAGTAGGTGATATAGAATATAATATGGCATTTATATAGGATAAATCTCAAAATTATGCTATAATGAGGTCGATTATCCTGCTCTTTTTGCCCATATGTTTTTCTTTAATATAAACATAGTTGTCTGTCTTTATTTTGTAAGCTATAGAGTTTTTCTTAAAGACTTTGCTTTAACTAGAGCTGTCCATCTGTATTTTCGCCGGAGAGAAGCTGAAATCAATATAGTGAATCAAGATGCAGGGGAGAGATTAGTAAAACTAAGAAATGATGTCAGTTCGAGCAGGTATACATTACATCATTTCTCTTTTATATTGTTCTTATTCTTACTTGAAGCAAAGTTGACTTAAAACCCTTCTGGACATTGTCACAAAGTAAGATAATTTATGTTTTACTTTTGTTTTATTACGTACATCATTTATACCATAAGAATTTGTGATGTGAGTTGCTTTAGTAAATTGTTATTATCAAGTCATTGATCTCCGTTATAGAAATTAACATTATGCATATATTACGTCACTTGTTAGCTAATATTAAATTTACAAAATGGCACTGGTTATCTATTTTGTAAATTTTGTCAGATATCCTTAATTATGAGTTGTATGCCATGTTGATGATGTGAGAATAGATACTTGATGGATAATCAGACACCATTTAGATTAAAATTATTTGGTAAAAACAATGATTCTCTACAACAAAATAAGGGATTTCAAAACAAAATAAGGGACACCACTTAGATTAAAATTATTTGGTAGTAGTTCGGACTTAACTAAATCTTCGATCCTTTGACATTGACATATGCATTATTAAAAGATACAAAATGAGAGTAGAAGCTTTATTATTTCTAAGAAAAGAAAATAGAAGCTTTAATTAAGAATAAGTGTATAATATATGATCCGATACAATATTATTAAATAATAAAAGTATCATATTTATATATAAAAATTGTGGTCGAAGTAGTTTCTTAACACCAATACAAGAAACTAAGGTGGATTCTTATGTCCATAAGATCCATCAAGAAGACATTTTTGGTAGTTAATTATAATTCTAGGAGACATTTAGTTTAAACAAATACATCTATTTGGTGCAACAAAAGTAAAGCTAAGGTGTATGTATCTTATGCAATTATTGTAAATATTTCATATATACATAATCTAAATAAATTAAATTACTCTAAACAAATGATATTTTTTTTAATTTTATCTATCTAATTATTTGAAATGGAAATGCGAGGGCTAGCCAAGTGAAGATTTTGAAATTGAAATAGTTAATTGAATAGGACACGGATCATTAAAAAAAAAAAACTTGATATCTAGATTTTTAAAGAGTTGGTAGATTGTTGAAACTTGTAATTATATTGAAAATTACTCTATATAAAGGGTAATACCCTGTATTAGTTTATTGATCAAAGAAGCATATTTACATTACAAATACACATGTTGATGGGCTACATGGGTGGTTGCAAATGGTTAAATGCACCCAATCATACGCTCCTGGAAAAACACAATTTTACAATAAAAAAACATATAAGCTTATTACAACTCTTAAATAAATACTACTTATAGTTGTGCAAGAGAAACAGCTGCAAGCCTGGAACAGAAGAGGAGAGAAGATGATGGTGATATGCAATTGACTCAACTGATTAATTTTACAGAAAAATCATAGCAATGGATTCTCCAGCTGTGGCTACGAAAGATAACAAGCTATTTAAGGGAGTTGTTGCAGGCGGCGGAACCATGGTGCTCTCGTCATCTATGGTGTTTTACATGTTTAAACTCTAATTATGGCCAGTTATTTGTAAAACCATTAAATATTACATGGTTTCTCAGAGATTAATTCAAGTTGGTAAACTATTCTAAATGTAGTTCTTGCCTTGGATTATATTGCAGTTGGGAATTATTTGTCATTGTTTTAATCGACTTTGATGGTCTTTTTTTAAGTTAAATGTATTTAAAATTGTATCGATTGATTAGTGCAGTAAGAACATTTCTGATGTTATTGCTTTGCTGATGTCATTTTACAATATTTTGTACTTTCTTTCTTTCTTTGCTGATATGATGGTAAAAGAATTAGAAGCATCAAGTTTATTAAAACCAAACATATCTTTTGTTTATAGGTATTAATAATATTGAGTATAAAAGTTTGCCTCTGATTTGGATGTATCATTCAGCTTTACGTGTCTAGAACAGTATTGTAGAAATGTTAAAATTGGGTATTGAAGTAAATGTCTATGCATTTTTTTCCCCCTTCATTTCCATTACAAAAATTGCTGCATTTTCATTTACCATGCCTACAATTATAAGTTCCAATTACCACCAAAAAATCTCACGATTACTAATCACACTTAAAACGAGTCGTTACACATTAAAAATTTAGTAATACCTTGGTACCACATACAACACACGTGTTCATCAATCATGAGAAAGTGAACTGCTTAGAAGCACCTTAAAATTAAAACTCAAAACTATGGTAAAATCGTGTTAGTTTTATGAATACGTGTTTTTATTTTAATTTTATACGACCTTATACTATATAGTTTTAGAGAGGGGGATGGAAAGGAAACATACGGAGAGGGAATGGGGAACAAGAGAGGGAAAAAGATAAAAAGATTAAGGGGAGAAAGTGAAAATGAGGAGAGAGAGAGAGAAAGAGAGAGAGAGAGAGCATCTTATTAGTATGTAATCAAGGAGTAGTAAATAATACTTTAGTTTTACATTTTGTAAAACCATAAAAGTTAATTGTTAAAATAGAGAGAGAGTGAGTGAGAGGATAGGGAGGAAAGCAGGAGGAGGGGGAGAGAGCAAAAGACGAGGGAAGAAGAGAGGGAGAAAAAGAGGAAGATACAGTAGGAGAATGAAATGGAGAGAAAAGGAGTAGGAGAAAAAGATAGATAGAGAAAGAAGAGAATGGGAGAGAGAAAGAGAGTGAGAGGAACCTAATGAGAGGAAATCAAGAAAAAAAAAAAGGAATTAAAGAGGAGTAATGAAAGATAGAGATGACATGTCGAAAGAGAGAGAGAGGTCATGTTGAGAAAGGAAAGGGGTTGAGAAAGAGATGGGCAAGAGAGAATGTGAGAGAAAAAAAAAGGAGGAGAAGGTGATGAGAGAGAGAAAGAGGAGAGAGGGGAAAGGGGCCGGTAAAAGATAGAGAAAGAAAAAAGAGGGAAGGTTGGAGAGTAAGATAGAAAGAAGGAAAGAAAGAGAAATAGGGCCAGGTGAGAGAGAAAAGGTCAAAAGAGAAGAAATAGAGCGATAAAGAAAGAAAGTGGCCGAGAAAGAGATTGAGTGATAAAGAGGGAGAGAGATAGGCCCCGTTCTCTTCACCTTAATTTTGTTAAACTGCAAAAAAAAAAATTTATTGAATTGAAATTATTTTTGCTGAACTTAAATTATTTTTACTAAACTTAAATTAGTTTTACTGAACTGAAATAATTTTTGCTGAACTGAAATTATTTTTACTGATTTTCTATAATAATTCTTCTTTAAGAAAATTGAATTTTACTTATTTTTACTGAACTGAAATTATTTTTAGGTTATTTTAGATTTTAACACTTGGAAAAAACACAAAAATGGTTTTTAACACCTCCATAAAAAAAAATTAATTTTAACACCACAAAAATCTTCAAAAATTTGATTTTACCACCACTTAATAGATTCCGTCCAAGAATCCGTTAAGTGGGTCCACACTGCCACGTGTTATAATAATATTGGATATTTAAAAAAAATTTAAAAAAATGAAAAAGAAAAAATCTGCGGCCACCCAAACACCACCATCACCAACACCGCATCCCCACCCCATACGCACGGCTTTAAGCCGCCGGTAACGTTACCCACCCCCTTCCCAACCCAGACCACCGGAAACCACTCTCCTCCCAAGCAAAGGTGGGATTATTAGTTTCCATTTTTCCTATAATTAAAGCATAAGAAACTACAACTCAAATCTTTCCAACAATTTAGTAATTATACTTTTTTTTTTGTAATTATAATGAATTAAATGTCACCAATAATTGGGGAACCGCGCACTACTACAATATTAATAATCGAATTAAACCACATGATATCATCTAATATATAATTACAATAAATTAGAAATTACCAAATTCGGGGATCACACACTAATTGTAAGAGACACAACCGCCACAAAGGAGATAAATGAGAGAAATTAGGAATGTGAAAATAAAGAAAGAAAAACAAGGAGGGGATTCAAGGAAGGATAAAGATGAAAAACACTTTAATTAAAAGGATTTTTGTGAAAAACTACCTTTTATATACAACTTTTTGTGAAAAACTACCTTTTAAAACAATTATTATAAATGACTACCTCTTTTATAAAAAAATGTTGTAAATGACTACCACTTGCCGGAATCTGGCCGTTGACTCACTTTTCCGGCGTTGACCACCCACGTGCCGGTCACATGACCTTTAATTTTTTTTTTCTTTTTTCCCATGCATGCACCACCAGCATTGCCGCCATCTTCACCACCGCCCCACCACCACAACACCTCAATCCACCTCAAAACTCCCTTACAACCGCCCTCACATATCCTAAAACCAACCCAACCCCACTTGAAACCGCCTCCACCCCGTCGAATCCAACACAAGCCCTCAATCGCTCCGCAATTTCGCGACCCTCAAACAGCAACATCAATAATTTCCTCAATTGAGGAAAGGAAGGGAAGAGTTCTGGTTTTTGAGGGGGTCAAAGGAGGGTGGGTGGGATTTCAAGGGTGAGATGTGCGTGGGTGGGATGAAATTTGGCCGGAAATTGATAATTTATTTGAGGGGTGGCTGAAAATCAAGAATTGAGGGAAAGGGGAAGGGTTTCGAGGTGTTCGGGGGAAATGATGAGCAGTAAAAGGGAGGTTTGCAAGGAAAGGGCTGCCGGAAATAATGGAAGTGGGGGTACTCCAACTCATGATAATAACTATTAGTCGCTTCAGCAACATCCGAAACACCACCTACAAAACAAATTCAAAAGAAAAATTAACGCTTAAATTCAACAACAAAAAATGCAAAAATTCAAAATTCAAAAAACAAAAATGAATAAAAGGCAAACCAGAGTTGACGCAATTGAGGACATAATCAGCATTGAGAGTATCAAGGTTGATGTTGGAAAGAGAGAGTGTCGGACCAGAAGAAGTACGAACTTGTTTGATTAGATTTGAGGAAGAAATTATGAATTCAAGTAGTTTTTGACGATCACACCGATGCTCCAACATCAATGATGAATTTTCCTCCATTTTCTTAAGAAGGGGTGAGGAGGCTAGGGAAAAAGAGCGCTGCAGGGGGTGGGGGATGGCCGGAAATTGGAAAAGGGAGGCAGAGGGGCAACAAGCGTGGCAATCGGAATTGTGTAAGGGTAGTCGAAAACTGGACAAGGGAGGGGGAGGTGACGGCGAGGGGGTAGGGGTGGTCGAAAGCTAGAAAGGGAGGAGTACGGGGTGGGGGTGGTCGAAAACGAGAAAAGACCGTCACGTAGGTGGTCAACGCCGGAAAAGTGAGTCAACAGCCAGATTCTGGCAAGTGGTAGTTATTTACAACATTTTTTTTAAAAGAGGTAGTCATTTACAGAAATTTTTTTTAAAAGGTAGTTTTTCACAAAAAGTTGTATATAAAAGGTAGTTTTCACAAAAAATCCTAATTAAAAATAGACTATTTTTTTAAGATTATAATCAAAGAAAGGAACGAAAGGGGGTCGATCGAGAGAGAGAAAGGGGGAAAGGAAGAGACAGAATGGCCATGAAAGAAAGAAAGCGAGAGAGGGAGGTCGTAAGAAAGATGAAGATAGAGTGAAGCCGAAAAAGAAAGGGACCAAGGGGAAAAGAGAGAGAGAGAGAGAGAGCGAGAGGGGCTAACGGAAAAAGAACAAGTGTAACCTATATTTTTCAAAGATTTTTAGAGGATAGACGGATAGGAAAGATTATATAGGAAAGAAAAAATAAAGAAAGTGTGAGAGTTTGAGCCAATAAAGGAAGGATTAAGTGAGAGGGGAGCAAGTACGACCTATAATTTTTAAAATCCATTTTAAAATTAGAAGAAGTAGGGGAAAAACCATGTTAAGGGGGAGATAAAGGGAAAGAGAGAGACCGGGAGATGTTTTAGGATAATAAAGAAAGGAAAAGATGAGAAACACTTCAAAAGACCATTCTTAGTGTTTAATTAAAGAAAAGACTTAGAAAATATGGAAGAGAGAAATGAATAGGAATTAAGAATGTGAAGTGAAGAAATAAAAATTGCGAGGGGCTTTTGGAAAAGAGAAAGGATAGATGAAATACTCTATAAATCGAGGACCATCTTTAGTATGTAATCAAGAATTAGGTAAATGGCCTGGTACATGTTGAAAAGGTTCTAAATATTGTTAAACCATATAAGTGTGAAAATGTAAAGGAAGATGGAAAAGGGTGAGGAGGAGAACTATGAAGAGGAGGGGGGGTATGGATTAACTACGTAAATTTTATTGTATCATTAGATAATGAAGGAGAGAGGGAACAAATGAGGGAAAGTGATAATGGTTATTTACAAGATCCTTTGCCTCTATACCTTTTTACAAATATTTGAAATTTTATTTCATTTTCCTTTTCCAAACAGTTAAGTTACAAAGTATCCAAATAAAACTACAAGATGTCTTAAGCCCGTTCTCTTCACCTTAATTTTGCTGAACTAAAATCATTTTTACTGAATTGAAATTATTTTTGCTGAACTTAAATTAATTTTACTGAACTTAAATTAGTTTTACTGAACTGAAATTATTTTTGCTGAACTGAAATTATTTCTTACCGATTAACAATTATAATTCTTCTTTAAGAAAACTGAATTTTACTGACCTGAACTTAATTTTACTGAACTGAAATTATTTTTACCGAACTGAAATTAATTTTACTAAACTGAACTTATTTTTACTGAACTGAAATTATTTTTACTTAATATTATTTTTTTAAGGTGAAGAGAACAGGGCCTTACACTTAAAGTTAATTAAAATTTAAATAATCATAACTAGAAATGTTTCCTTTTTTAATTGATTTTTCTTTAACCTTTTTTTTTTAATAAACCATTGCTCTATAACAAAATTCCAAAATATAATAAAAAATTCTTTTACCCTTATTATTAATTATTAAATCATTATAACTATTAAAATGCTAATAGCCTTTTATAACTCTTTCAAACAATTTAACAACAATAATAGCAACAACTTTATTATTTCCATAATTAATATAGGTAATATAATTAAAGTATAAGAAACTACAACTTAACCCTTTCAATCACTTTATTAATACATAACACAATACACATTAATCAACACACCCATATATTACATTTATTTCTTAGCAAAACAATCTATTCCATTAGATTTCATCATTGATCAATGCTAACAACTATACCTAATTTCATTACCAATAAAACATTAGATATAATCTACGCACATAGCATTGACTAATTACACAATAATCACGAAGCATAGATCACCAAATTGAGGGACCGCAACATTCTCAGCAATACTCACATCATGTGCCTTCTGCGTGCCATCCAATGTAATAGTAAACAAATTCATCTTGCTACCCACTCTGGCCTCTATGCCTAAATCATTATTTACTATAGCTAAAGTGATCATTAGCCAAATTAAATTTAAGGCTTGCCACATATAATAATACGCTAACCAATCAGAGAAAAAAATCGGCAAACAAAACGCAACCAATTACATTAACACATAAATTACGACTAATTATACGCTAATCACCGAGACAAAATCACATTGGGGGACTGCGCGCTGGGCCAACAACTAGTATTGTAGACACCTAAAAATTTCTCCCTAAAACCAAACCCAATGATGAACAACCTTTCACCGCCATTATTGGTCGGGTTGAGTATGTAATCTTTGGAGTGCTTAAATCCATGTTCACTCCCAATACATTTCATAAACCAATCAAATTCCTAGCCCATTTCACCAACCATAAATTATTTTCCTCTATTCATGCCTTTAAACCCAAAATAATTCATTTCGTGTCCATTAAAATAATTGATTTCGTGTCCTTTTTATAAAACGTTTAGACCAGTTTATTTTGGTCCATAATATGGGTCCAATGATTTAATATTTGGGTGGGTTTGAAAAGATCTTCCAACGATACATTATAAGCCCAAATCCGAATTATATCGAATAAGTTATGGCCAAAATACTAAACTGAGTCTAAATCGAACCTAAGCCCACCTTACCTACGACCCAATGATCATGTGGAGGGTCCAAAGGCTTAAATCCCACTGCTAATCCAATTAGGATTAATTAGAATCTTCTATAAATTTCTAAAATATCTTAATTATCCTATTCAGAGATAAGATTAAAGCATTTGAAATTGAATAAAACTTTTCTTTTTGAAAGTCCTAATTCTACTTGAATTGAAAGACGTTCAAAGATAGTCATATATTATTTTTGTGCTTCATATTTTTTTTTTATCTAAATCTAAGATGGTTGGATAGCTCTTGAAATTATCTTTCCAATGATATATTATAATATCAATTCTGAGCTATAACGAAAAAGATATGAGCGAAATACGAAACTCTATCCAAAACTGACACCGTCCCACTATTTCAGCCACATCTTTTGTTCTACAGAATATTTTAATCTGATTCTAATTGAGTTAGAAATTAAAACTCAAGAGCTTTCCAATGATATCTTATTTATCTTATTCCGATTTCTTGATCAAAAGATATGATAAAAACAAAAACCGCAAAAATTGTTGTCGATCGAGTTTTATTCCGATTTCATTCGGATCTTATCTTAATTCTTCGACCCTTCTTTTTTCTATATGAATAGAGGTCATATCACCCCTTTTTCAATCATCAACAAGCTTGATCACCAAATCATTCTCTCTTCCTCTCTTCTATACAAAAAATCATTCTCTCTCTCCCTACACCAAAAAATCATTCTTTCTCCCCTCTTTATTTAGCCCAAATTCTAGCCACCCTAATATCTTATAATACATCCCTTAAGCACTCCAAGGAGTCCATACAACACCCGAAGTTCTATACTTAAACCATGGTGTGGAAGGTATAATTAACTGATGGTTTGAACCAAATCAACTCTACAATTATTTAATTTCCATTCGATTTATAATTTTTTTTATTGAAGTTACTAACAATTTATTCACGATGTAGCAATTTAAAGGAACGCGCGGAATGTGAGTAATTAATTAATTGAATTAATTATTTTATTTTATATTGCTAGTATCATGATTAGGTTAATTTATATTTGATTTGACTAACGCTATTATTGTTAAATTGCTTCCAATATTAATGTCTATTATATTATTATTATTTATGATCACCATATTTCATGTTAAAGGGAATGTGTAGTTGAATATAACGCCTAATAGGATAATTTGGACAACCGGTTTAGGTTCCTTTAATCTTATTATTAAATCAAAGTGGCCTGGTCACAAATATTTTAGAATAATGTGTGCTTTAATATTAAACCAATTAGTTTGGAGCAAATTGAATTTTTGTTTGCCTTTGAGATCGAAGGAATACTTTTCACAATAAGAATCGAGTAGAGGCCAATACGGGCGAACGTGACTCCATGACTCACTTCGTACCATCATCCCCGATCCTCATGTCGTGGTCCCAAACCATATGGAGTTAGTAATCTCATGGATTATGAATGGGGTGTAACCTTTACGGGTCAATCGTTGTTGCCTATCGTTATCCCTTAATCGTGGTTGCCTTAAATGATCCGTGAACGGTTTACAAGTTCCTTAAAAACTTGTTGGTGGCTCCCTACTTTCCTTGTCCCTAATCGTGTCCCTAATCGTAATGTCAATTCCCACTTCCTATGAGTGCCAAGCATATTCACAACATGCTTTAACGCAGGCGCACTTCAAACGACACCTACAATTTAGCGACTCCACCGGGGAGGATTCTTGGTTATTTATCGATTTGAGTGATCGGTATTTAGTTAAGATGAGTGGATGAGACTTGAAAGATTCTTGAATTGTATTCCTGCGAATTAATTGGCATTGTCACATATGCATATGCATTTTAGGTTACCTATTTTTCCACAATAGTATGTGTTCTACGTATGTGGCTAGCCCGGGGGATTTAAGCTCTATCAACCCAAAAACGCTCATGGCAATAAGGGTTCATCCGAGTTTTTAAATCCACCCAAACCATGGAGTCGAGTTCGATTTCATCACGAACTCGCGGAGCCGCCCGTTGGCATACACCCTCAAGGGAGGCTGCCTTGCTAACACGTCCAAACTCTTAACCATGGTACCCTTTGACACCCAAATAAGCTTGACCATAGTGGAACATAGATCTTGACTTTAGGTTGTGAACTTCATTGCATCATTCGCGACAATGTGCATAAGTGTGCATATTTTTATTTATTTTTCTTTTTTTTTCTTATCTAATCCTCCTTTTTTTATTTGAGTCGAGTCATAGTTTTTTTTTTTTTTTTTTTTTTTTTTAATTTTGAGTCAACCCGGATTTTTATTCCCGTATCCTGCACAAGAGTCAATTTGTTTTGGTCATAGCCGGAGTTCTAGAAAGAATTACGTGTAGTGCAACCTATGGATCTGTAGCCCCAAGTTTTAACTTTCATTTTG